GTGTGAGAAAAGAAACTGCTAGTGCAGAACTTACTGTTACATCTAGCCATTTAAACTGTAAAATGATGAGACCTGGCTGCCAATCTAGTACTGCACTTAAATTCATAAAGTCTAGAAACCATAGCAAAGAGTTATCATGAAAGTATTTATAGAAAAGGCACAGGGAGGCAGCTTTACAGTGGTGGGAAAGTGGCTGAAGTCAAGGCACCAGATCAGGACTAATAATATTGTTGATTCTTCTCTGGATTTTATCAAGAATCTCTAAATATATAGCAGGAGCATTGGACCATGTGTGGGAGCAATACTCTAAGCATGGTTAAATAGTAGACTTATAGATATCCTGGAGAGAAAAATTGGCTAGCCTGACACAATGAACTAACTTTCTTAGCAGTAGACCTAGCAATAATGTATTCAATATAGTCTTTTCATTTCATGTCAAGCCAAGAATGTTAGCCCAAGAAGGCGCAGCATGTCTCTCCTGGAGGTCAACATTAGCGACGCTGATAAAAGGCAATATGATGAGATGATTAATAGAGAGCAATTACATATTTAGAGTGATATGATCAGGAACATTCTGGGTTAGCCACAATAAAGTCATGTCCGAGGTAGCAGTATCCTGTTTCAGCATAGATAGCTTTTCTTGGGCCACTCCTTTAAACCCGGACATGACCATTCAGTCAAGCACCTCAACTGTAGATCATGGCCTTGACCTTCATCCACGAGCTGGCTCATAGCTGATGCTCCCCTGAACCTGCTGAATAAACATGGTTATTTTAGTTGACAACAAGTGCCATGAGTATGTACAGTGTGACTTTTGTCTTCCTGTATCAAACTGGAAGGTGCATGTTAGTACTCTTGACATGAACAAAAAATAAATTGTCTCACATGCCACAGTGAACCAAATTTGACCTAGCAATGGATTCAATATAGTCTTTTCACTTCCTGTCAGCAGGGAATGTGAGCCCAAGAAGGTACAACAAGTCACTTTCTTGGAGGTTAGCATCAGCCATGCCAATGGAAGACAGAGAGTGGTCTCTCAGATGATTAATGGAGAAAAGTTTAGTTTTGAAGGTCTTAAAATTAACAAGTCATCTTTTGCCACAGTTAACGATGGACTTGAGGTCATTTTGGACATTGGCTGCCATTTTGACCTTGTCAGACTGAGTAGCCTTACTATAAAGGCATCAGTGTAGATAGCATGTTGAGAGCTGATGTCATCAGGAAGGTCATTAATTAAAATAGAATAGGACCAAAGATGGAGCCCTGGGAGGCACCTGCATTTATACAAAAGGGTCTAGATGAGTGTCCATTCAGGATAACTTTCATTTCACAATTTGCTTGGAAAGACTGGATCAGTTCAAAAATGTGTCTGAAGACTGTAACTTTTCTGCTTGTGGAGAAGACCTGAATGCCAGACCCTGTCAAAGGCTTTCAAGATGTCTAATGCTAGACCCCAGGCTTCACCGTTATTATCTAGGGGATGATAGACTCTTTTTTGCAATTATCATCCGTACATCAGCAGTTGACCTGGAGAAACAAAAGCCATATTGTTTGTCTGACAAAAAGGCCCTGCAATGAGAGATGATGAACTAATTCAGCATTGATTAGGGCCTCTAGGAGTTTCCCCCCAAAAATATAGAATACTAATAGGCTGATAGTTGGAAGAGTTGGACAGCTCACCAGAGTTCTTAAAAACTGAAACAACAGATGATGACTTCCAGCAAACAAGAAATCTGGAGGCAACATGGCAGATAGTTTAGCGAGAACAGGAGCCAGTTTGGGAGCACACTTTCTAATGACCATCAGGTCCACATGCTTTGTGGGGATCTAGGTTAGAGATGATAGCAGAAACCATCGAAGGGGTTATATGCATATCACTCAAGTTAGGAAAGGATATTCCAGATGAGTGAAAAGTAGTGTTTGAAAAGAATTTATGAACAAAGCATTCAGCTTTATCAGCAGAGGATGATAACAACTCCTATTGATTGAAGAAGGGAGGAATAGAGACCTTACACTTATTTAATGCCCTATTACAAAGTTGCCAGTAATCATGAGAGCCAAAGTTGTTTGAGGCTATGTGGTACCTCATTCTCTCAGCAAAGAGAAATTTTACTCCTTCAAGAAATCGCCTACATTTATTGCTGTGACAAGAGCCTTCACATTGGTATAGCCAAAAATAATGGTTCCTGTGTGCTATAGCAGTCAAGCATGCTGGTGTGAACCATAAACAGGATTGAGGTTTCACCTAGTATTTCTCAAAAGGGATGAAAGTGTCCATGCCTGCTTTGATTCAAGAAGAAACTTCAGTGGCACAATTTTCAATTGTGTGTTTCAATATGTCATTCCAAGGGATGTCACAGAGAAATCACGGAATGAGTCCCAATCAGCATGCCAATAACAGAAGGAGGTCTTGTGGATCCTGTTTAATAGATGACTGGAACAAAATATTAATAGCTACCACAGAGTGATTAGAATTACCAAGAGGACAGTGTTGTGAAGCTCAGCAAGAGAGAGGAGATGAGGTAAGCTATAAATCAAGTAGAGAAGCATGTTGCTTGATTTTATTATGGAAACAAGCTTTGGAAGTTCACAATTTGAGTAAGTGACTGAGCAAAGGAAAAATTTAATATCTGAATACTGGCAGCATCAGTACCTTTAAAATTTATAAGCCACATATAGTGGTAAGCATTAAAGTCACTGAAGATAAAGATGTTTTCAGATATTATGTCTCATATACTGCAGTCCTTGGAAGAGGGGGATGATAAAGAAAAAAGATACAAGTAACAGTAATGAAAAATGGAAGCACATGAAGAAGTAGTCTGGGACCTTGTGAGACAATTCCCTGGCCATCAGAAGATTATTCCAGATGTAAACACCAAGGCTAATGCTGGAATCTTTTTGGCTAAGGGAATCAAGAATTCATTGGTAGCAATGGAAGGATTTAAGTTAGTTTCACAGAGAGCAAAGATATCTGGCAACCATTTCAAGAGGAAAGATTCTATGCTGCAGAACTTGGAAAAGATACCTTAAATATTCATAAAAGAAAGATTGAAGGGTGGGGGAGGTGATTTTTTGTTTACTAGTTTAGTTGTTTTTCTTTTGCTTGTGTTTCCATGAGATTCATTCCATGAGATTTGTTATAAATGAATATCTATCCTGGACATTCTAGTAGATGCTAACAATGATGATTTTATCACTTCAATATATAAAAAAACCTACAAGGAAAAATTCACATCTTCTTAATTATAAAAGCAAATGTCCTCACATATTATAAAATAGGTGTTATAAAAAACATGCTTAGCCATACAAAATTTATTTCCTTTCAGACACATTATTTTATTGAGAATAAAGCAACATAAAACAAGCAATTATTAACAATAAATTTCCCAAACCATGTGGTTGATGAAGAAATGAGATTAGCTTTAAAGTTATTTAGAAAAATTAATAAAAGTAAATATTAAATTATTTTATTGTAACCAAATGCAATGCAGCCTAATAGTAAACAAGATGAGAATGCAATTAAAATTATAATCTGTCAGTATATAAAAGTTATGGATCCTAACAAATGATTTAGATTTATCATTTATTACAAAAATTTCAAAACATCTAATTCTTAGAAATAATGCAAAACCTCAAAAATCCATCTTATATATATATATAAATTATTCTTTCATTCCAATGAAGAGAATCCAGCTTAGAAATAATGCAACACCTCAAAAATCCATCATATATATATATATAAATTATTCTTTCATTCCAATGAAGAGAATCCAGCCTAGCGGAAAGATATTAATGATTTAATATTGAAAAACACACACATACGCTTCCTTGGGTCAGAACTAAAATGTCTATCTAGCAATGGTGAAACATGTAGTTAAAGCAACGAAACAGTTTGCCACTTTGTTTGATTTATCAAATATATATATATATATATATATATATAGATATAGAGAGAGAGAGAGAGATAGATAGGTATCAAAATAAAATCATTGGACCACAACTTCACCATGCTTAGTTATAAAAAGAACATTTGAAATCACATTTTATAACCTTCATTAAATCTAAAGATCTGGCACTTGCTACAGTGTAGCTAGTAAGAAGGTCACACTAGCCATTATGAATGATTTTGAGCCTCATTGGGGACTCTGTCAATTAGGCTTTGTGACATCAAAATTGGATTTGTCTATCTAGATTTATGTTAATTACAATAATGAAATACTAGCAAATCCTTTTCATATATGCCATGTTCATTTAAGACATACATAATTATGGCTCTCTACAATTCCTTATCGTTTGTAGCTCTTAGTAAGGTTTGTTTTCTTGTTATCTCTCCCATTCTTTTACATAAGCTTGTTAGGTAAGGTTACTCACTGTTTTCCTTTGCTCCTTCTGCATTCAGTATGCATTTTGAGTGCTATATTTTCCAAGCCTTCTTTCCTCATTATATGTCCTAGAAATTTCTGATCTTCCTGATTTTAAGTATAAGTGTTCTTTTTGCTTCCATTCAGTAAAAATAAGTCTTAAAGATATGACTGTTACTTTTTACACTTAGAAGATTGATGCTTCACACATTCCTACTAAATTATAACTTTGTATAGCTTTGTACCTAACTTGTATAACTGAGTTAATTAGATTACATTGTATTGACAGATTGGAAGGGAATAGTGATAATGGTATGTTTATTAATGAAGGTAGTTATATATTTCTCATCAACCTTAATAATTGGTGTGCAAACCTATGTAAAAGCTAGGATTGTGAAAGCTTATTGTCAAGTCAAGATCTCAATTGGAAAATTGGCACGTTACACCCACAATGAGCCAACACCAGATGAAGCTGCAATAAAATAATTATGAAACACTCTAAATATCAATGAAAAAAGATAAAGATTTCAAACAACTTAAAGTTTTCACCACTCATTTCTTTTTCATGGAAATTTTTCCAGGGAAGGTACCATACTTGCTGTGAGTGAATAAATTAGCCATTACAGTGCTGAAACATACCTTCAGCCTGCCATGCAGGATATTGTTGTCATGAAGGCTTTTTAGACCTTTCAACATGTGCCAAACAAGTCCACTGGCAATGTTGGCATCAAAGCTGTTCTGTTGAAGTTTCCATTCAATGTATTGCCGAACGTTACACTCACAAATATTCATTGAGAGGAAAGCAAAATCCTTACTCACAGTGAATGTCTGCAAAAAAGGCAAAAAATGAAAACAAAATAGGATTAGTTTTTAAAATATTTGATAAGGATTATTCAAAAAATGACATGGTTAAAAAAAATATAATGGTAATAATGATAGAAAAACGATGGAAAGGATCAATCAAAAGAATTGTAGTAAAAAGAACAGAAACAATTAATGATAAAGTTCATTAAAAAAATCAATGGTAAGTAACATTTAAATAAAAAGCAATTAGTGCAAACAGATCAGTTCAAATATTATATTATATATATATATATATATATATATATATATATAGATAGATAGATATAGACATATACACACACACATGGTGTTCTAAAAATTTTACTTCTTTTTGTAGTCTAATACCATAGTCAATTTTCATTCAAATGAATCTCAAATTTAAACAAAATATGTAAAAAATAAGTTGACTCTGCAGACTTATCTCATTGAGAATGCCATTGATAATGTTGTGCTGCTGAAATGGGCACCACATTCACCTGATTTGGCACCTTCTGATCTCTTTCTATGGGGCTTTGTGAAAGGACATCTATATCCCGCCTCTTTCTACAAGCCTAGAGGAAATTAAGCAGAGAACACTGAGGCACTGGAGAATGTTTTGCAAGACTAGCTACAGTGTTTTCAGTAGGAGCTGGACTACTGTCTTGATATGTGTTGTGTCACAGGTAGTGTGCATTTGTAAAGTTTTGTGAAGTTGGTTATAAAATCTACACTCCTTTGAATATCTTGTTTGAATTTTGATAAATAAACCTTTTATTGTTCAACATGAAGTTGATTTAATTTCATTGTGTTTTTAATCCCATTGCACTTGTGTATTTCTGGTATCCTGTTTATGAAAGAGGTATTGTTAAATGAAGTCCTAACATTTCCAGACCAGTGGGTTAGAAGGAATAGCCCAATTCCCTGTCCACCTCATTCATCAGATATCACTCTCCTAGACTTCTTTCTATAGGTTTATGTTAAAGATATTGTATATCAAACAAAGATACAGGACATCACTGATCTAAATCAAAAGATCACTGATGCCATTGCCACCATTGATGAGGCTATGCTACAATGAACATGGCAAGAAATCAAGTAGCGTCTTGATGTGCTGCAGGTAACTTATGGCATCCATATAGATGTGTATTAAATTAGTTAAATAAACTTCAATATCTACTCCTCATTTTGTAACAATTTCCACATATTTATCTGTTCATTTGCTTTTGTAAAAAAAAATCTAAACTGTAAAGAGACTTTACATGTACATTACAAATTAAACTAAGCACAACTGACTGTGAAAGTATGAAATATTTTCACCTAATTTAACATCATTCTGGGGTTATTTGTATTTTTTACCCAAATCTGTGACATTGTTTTGCTTAGGCTAAGTCTTGAAAAAGCATGTATTTTTTAACAAGAAAAATTTTAAATTGATGTTAAAAATTGTCAAAAAAAGATGAAATGAGCTATTGTGACATGTCTCTAATTTGTATTTAGGTACATTGTATTTATTTTCAATTTTTCTAGTTGACTTGTTCACATATACTGCTTATGTTCCATTATTCTACATAATTAGGTTACAATAAAATTTGTATTTTATATGAAGACTACCTTATGAAAATTGTGAATTAGTAGAGGAGGGTGGCTATATATATATATATATATATATATATATATATATATATATATATATATAATTATTTATTTAAAAATATGATTCCAAATGGCGACATAAGAAGTCCCATGTTTCAAAAAACAAGAGCCGAAAACTTCAATATAATTATTTAAATTATTTAAATTAAATTGAGTTAAAATAAGCTCTGTTCCATCTTCAAGCGAAATTTTTTTGGAATAACGTGTTTCTGAAATTTACGTGTTTTAAAAATTGAAATCAAAATTTCCATGGTAACAGCTAGGGCGAATTGTTTAAGTTGGGTATGCCCTTTATGCCTCCATGAGAAATTACACATAATTAAGCTTCTAAATAATAATAATCTATTAAACAATAGACATGAGTTAACGGTTTTTTGTAGGCATCATCAGATTTTTGGTTTGAACTATTAGCTAAAAACTAGCATACAATATAATAACTTGTTTAATCCATAGCCCAATCATCAGATTCATGATTTGAATAATTAACTAAAAGCATGCATACAATATAACACCCTTCATAATCCATAGCCGAAATAAAAAGTTTAAATACCCTAAAAAAAGATAACCCTTTATGAAGTCGTCAAAAAACAAACGTTACGACAGTTTTTGTTTTTTGTTTTTTTTTTTTATATGCACAAATCCCTTTCATAAAAAAATAAAATAAATAAATAAATCTCCATAGACATGCAAACTAGATGAGGGTTAATACATCTTCCGTTTCAAATTTAGACACCCCCACCTTTCACTGACTTGACATCTACGAAAGTAACTCTATACTGATACTTAAGTTATTATTAACACCCAACACCCGCCTACCCAACTTAAACAATTCACCCTAGCTGTTACCATGGAAATTTTGATTTCAATTTTTAAAACACGTAAATTTCAGAAACACGTTATTCCAAAAAAATTTCGCTTGAAGATGGAACAGAGCTTATTTTAACTCAATTTAATTTAAATAATTTAAATAATTATATTGAAGTTTTCGGCTCTTGTTTTGAAACATGGGACTTCTTATGTCGCCATTTGGAATCATATTTTAAATAAATAATTATATTTATGCTCTACTTTTGTATCGAGCACTATTTTTAAAAAAATAATAACTAAAATACTAAGGGACTTTGGATTATTTACCTAACCAGTTCCTTCCTATTTTCTATATATTTTCACACACACACACATATATATATATATATATATATATATATATATATATATATATATATATATATGAGAAAACAATATATAAATTTTTATATATCAAGACAATTTTAGAGAAAAAACTATGACAATGTAGAAAAAGTTTTCATGCGACATGGTTTATCCAGGAGGACTTCATTGGACTAAAGTGATATTTACTAAAACTGTTTTCATTTTGTCATATATATATATATATATATATATATATATATATATATATATATGTATCTATCTATGATAAAAAATATAGTTTTAAATTGTGCCATATTCATGGACTAAAGTGTTTAAAATCAGGGGTAGAACATGTGTAAATATAAAAGTGGACATTGAAGTCAACTCTGAGCCACTGGGTGTTGACTACAATGTCCACTTTTATATGTATGTCTAACAGCCTGAATAATCAAGAAATTTTATTACAGAAAAATATGCTCTGTTTTTTAATTAAACAGTATAGTTACATTTACTGGCCTGAATATTTGAGAAATTTTGTAGAAAATATGGCTGAACAGTCATAGCACATCGGGCTTAATGTATTAATGCTTATCCTTATAGGATATAGGTTTGATTCTTGTTAGAGAGCACAAAATTCTTCGAATATTCAAGCCAGTAGATGTAATTAAAGCTGTTTAATTAAAAAACTGAGCATTTACTCAAATGAGTGTATCTATAACAAAAAACAAAAATGTATAAACAGAAAATATATTAAATATTTGTTGCATTTAATCCATTTCATATAATATATATATATATATATATATATATATATATATGTGTGTGTGTGTGTGTGTGTATATATATATATATATATATATATATAGAGAGAGAGAGAGAGAGAGAGAGAGAGAGAGAGAGAGAAAGAAAGATGGAGGTGAAATATTTTCTATCCAGCCCATTTTTGAAAATCTGACCAAATGATTAATCAGAAATTCTTTTGTAAGGCTTTCAAAGCCCTCACAGTCCTTCAACAACTGGCTAGCTTCATCCCATATTGTTTTGATTCCCATTTGCATTATTGCACACAAAAACTGGGAAAGGCCCAGCATGCATTCATAAGAGATAGAAGGTAAATGCGAAAGGAAAATATGAATCCTTTTTCCATCATATTAGCTTAATTATTTGTGGATTCATATACCACGGTCAGTTGGGGTGACACTTGTCACATCTTCACTGCTACTTCTGTCTATTCTCAAGGCAGACTAATGGACCAGATGTTCCCTTTGGCCAGCAAGAATTCTATCTGCTTCTGATTCTATATCTCTATTCTGTCGTTCTGACTGCCAGCTCTACCCGTCTGCACATCATCATGTGCAATTTTCTGATTCTGTCTCTGTACATCTTTCCTGGTGGTCTGTCAACAACTAACTAATTTACTGACTCATTCAAGCACTGCCTATATAAGCCTACAACCAGAATTCCCTACCTTCCAGCAAAGTGGCACTTGATCCCAAAAGTTTTTTTATTTTTTTACTCTATTTCTTTTTTCCTATTCTGAACAGCAGGTGGTTGCTTTGAAAATCTTGCTTTTAGATTACTGGTCAGTTCCAGATGAAATCATTTAGATTCCACTTGTCTTCATGGATGTTCTAATCACAGCTGCATCCTATCCTTTTGTGCCAGACTTAGTTGAGCTGAGAATATTTCAAAACTCCCTCATATATATTCAAATATGTTGATCTTGAATGTGTATTTGAATGAACAGCTTAAATTTCAAAATAAATAAAAATAAAGTTATCATTGGATGTTTTTAAATGAAATTATATTAATGTGTATGACATTTAACTCATATTCCATGACAGAAATTTTGATGGTAACTATTACAAGATCAAGCCTCTAAAGGTATTGTGTGAATTTCCCAATATGTCATGAACTAGATAGTAATGCCAAAATAGTAATCTGATGTTGCACAGGCATGAGAATGTCAAATCTTGGGAAAGACAGTTATGATAACAAGATGTCAAGTTAGAGAAAAAAAACAACAACACAATGAATCAAGAATAATATAATAAAAATGATAAACATTTTGGGAAAATATTCAAAATTTATATTCAAACATTAAAACATAAATCTCCAAATTTCAGACTGGCTGAAACTCAAAAGAGGTAGAATAAAAATATCTACTAACTTGATGCATGATGAAACAAATATAAAGAACG